TTGTAAAGCTAAGATGATGAGGAACAACTTTCATGTTCACTTGAAGTTGAGGAGGAACTTGATTCTAGGTCAAAAATGCCTTGGAAGTGGGTTGACTTTAAGTTGACCAAAATTATCTTCATCTGAGGACCCTAACTTGTTGGCATCATAACTTGAGATGTACAAACTCAATGTATGAGTTCTAGTAATCAAAAGAAAGCTAAGAACATGCCCTACAAGTCTCATGTTTTTATGAAAATGAGATTGAGCTTGCATCATGGGGTAAAGTGTCCTTGAAGTTAGGCACTAAAGAAGGGGATTTTACACTGAAAACCTCTGAAACCCTAATTTAGTAACTCCTTGAACTCTTGATTCCTCTAGATTTGATCTCATAATGACATCTTAGATGCTTCAAAATGACTTCCCATGGCTTCAATGACTTAGATCCAAGTCTTAAACCCTCTTAAATCCACAGTTGACTTTGGGTTGACCAGATGAAAACCCTAGTTCCATATCTTCTGACTATGGCTCTTGTAGATGAATTGAAGGATTGCACAAGCTCCATAATGACCCCTAAGGTACTCAATGAGATTTTAAAACATGTTGTAACCAAGAACAAATCCTCATGATCCCCTGTTGATCCTCAAGACAAGAGGTAACATACACACCAATCTCTCTCCTCTAGGAGCTTTGAAACTTCATCTTGATGATAATAAACACTCGATGGCTTGCCCAAATGCTCTTGATTGAGCTTGGAACAAATAATCTCTCCTATTGAATGGCACAACAAACCTTTTGATCCCCTGCTAAGAACAATGCTATGCAAATGCAAATGCTAAAATGAAACATAAGTCAAGTAAAATGAAACATAAGTACAAGAAATGGTTGGTCAAATTTTGGGGTACAACACACACATTATGTACTTTTTGACAAGTACACCTTTCAACGATTCTAATGGAGTTTTGATTCAGGTTACTATTGTAATATTTGAACTTTTAGGCGTATGTAGCAGTTTATTAGGTTCTAGCACTGTAAGCACAAATTCTCTTTTATGAACTTACATGATAGATCACCTAAGCATGTGATGTAACCTTCACGTTATTAGTTTTGATACACTTATGTGGTGATTTGATCTCCTTATCGTATACTCATTCTTTTACTAAGGGTATGTACATGTAAAAAACTCTGATGTCGAAGTAATACAAAGTGTTTGCAAATCAAAATTAGGCAAATGGACTTAGTGATCACATAGAGGGATGCTTGCTTTATTTATTGAGTGTTTGAGTCATACGTGTTTCATGCATTTGTTATTTTCACTTAGGTGATTTATGAGGTTACTAATAGATAAATACGACCACATTATTGTACTTGGCTTCTAGATAAGTTGTTATAATTACTTAATTTTAATACATTTCATATAGTTTTGAATTGTGTTAGCATGTTAATACTTCTACGTTCTTGATTAATAGACATATTAGTTTTCATAAATGACCTTAGAGATAACTTATTGTTGTATCACTGAGTTACGACGAGGAAAATACCTCGATTCTGGTGGCTTTGAGACTCAATATTGAGCATGTTATGTTATTTAAGCTTGAATTTCTTTATACACGATCCATAATATCTTTGGGTTGTACTACTTCGGTCATGTTCTAGATCGACCATATTCTCAGATATCCAACCACTTCTTTAGAGATTCCACCACCATAAGAAAAGAATTCCTCGGACTGCTCCGAGCCAAGCATATGTCCCTTTTCCAAACCGATCACCACAAAGCATAACGTCTCAGATCCAACCTAAGTATTTACTAAAGCTTCTATAATATTCTCCTAACCACTAGACCTCCACTAATCTATAAGCAGGACATCTATCCCTCCAACGGTCTTTCGCATTCTATACTGAGAATTTAACGAGTTAGTTATTTTGCTCCCTTATATATTCAAATGATGCCATTTTAGGTAACAGTTTTCAAACACAATTTAAATACCCTCTCATATACTAACTTGAGCGTTATAATGCTAATCTTGCAGGTGCACCCCTCGCTCCGTCGCATCGGAAGCTCATCTTCGCCGCAGCTTCTACGATTCTCCACATTTATGGTTCTGGAACCAAACATGTCCATTACCCTAACCATTTATGTATTTTATTTTATGTATTTATTTAAATTTTTTAATCCAAGTTTAAAATTATTAATATAAAACAAATATCTAAATATTTTAATTCACTACAAAATTCTTTTTTTTTACTAAATTGTAAAATCCTTTTTACAAAATTCGATTTTGTTCTCATAATTTAAAAAGTATCTAATTAGTATATTATATAAAATTGTAAAATATATATATTATTAGTCTTTTTCGTTGAACTAATAATTAAAAATTTAGAATTTAAAATTCAATTACTAATTAGAAAAAAAATTATTAAATCAAATTTGAAAAATATAGTAAAACAAGACAAAATAAGATATAAAATATACTTGATTCTTTCTAAGCAAAATTAATTAAATACGATAAAATAAAATATATACATTGTATTTTATTCTTCAATAAAAAATTAATAAATAAGGCAAAATAAAATATACAAATTGTCTTTGGTTCTTTTATGAAAAGTTAATCAAATAAGACAAATTATATTTTATTTTAATATTAAATAAATAACGAGAATAAAAAAGAATTAAACCAATCAATTTTAATATTATTTTTAAAAAAATTTGACGTAGACGAGTACGCACGAATGAAAATATAAATGATATTTTTTGTTTAAATAAATTTTTTTAAAAATATAATATATAAAATTTAATAATAAAAAGTTATGCGAAAGTTAATAATATTAAATTATTAAAAAAATTATATAATAAAATAAAAATAAAAATAATAGAAAAATAGAATACACCAAAACAAAGTATTTCCTATATATATATATATATATATATATATATATATATATATATATATATATATATATATATATATATATATATATATATATATATATATATATATATATATATATATATATATAGAATATGGATGAACCAATAGTTATATAATTTATTTTTAAAAAAAATCTTTTTATAACTCTGGTTTATCTTACTTCTACACTTTTTGATAGCGTTACTTTTTGAACAGAGTATTAGTATATTATTTTAAAAATACAATGATAATGACTATATCATCCCTGCCGGTTTGGTATGCGAACCTGATTTTTGTGTATGAATAAGAATCCCTAACTTTAAATAAAACAGTGACCCAGCCCGAAATCAAGGAACAACAAAAGGAGGATATTATGGTAAATAAAAAAACAACAATCAATCACTAGAATATGATGACGAAGCGTCCAGGAAAGAAGCAAGGGCAAGACCGTAAATGCAGTTTCAAAAAATTTAACGCTTCTCACGGTCACGGACGGCTGTTAAACGAAACGCACAACAAACCCTCGCCCCACAATCTAACCCTATAAATGAACGCTCTCCTCACAAATCCCAAACACACCAGAACGCAGCGCAGCCCCGTGATTTCTATCCTTTCCTCTTTTCCTTTATCTCTCTTTTCTCTGAAGTCGTTCTTTTCTAGGGTTTCCGTCTCGTTTTATCCGCGCTTTCCCTTCCCAGTTCCCACTCGTATCTGTAAGCGTTTTTCTTGTTCTTTTGATTCGATTATCTTTTATTCAATTTGTTTTCGATTTTGATTATGTATTTTCTGAATCTTTGTAGATTTTGTTCGAATTGATTTTGGTGGTGGGTAGAAGGTATTGAAAGCTGCGGCATTTTAACCAGACCTTATCAAAACAGGTGCCTATTCTTCTTTTTTACTACAGATTTTATTTTCTCATATATTTATTATTTTAATCAGATGTTGAATGTACCGTAATCTTTGGATCTGACGACACTGTTTTTTTTTTATATTCTCTTTAATTTGCGTTTATTTTTTCATTGGGAGCATGGTTTGTTTTATCAACCTGCATATGTTTTTTAATTCGTAATGTTGGATTTGGATTGTGACTGATTGATTGGATTTAATTAATTTTTTTAATTTGTGATTTCGAATTTCATATCTCTTGATGGGTACTCGATGTACTCCATTTTATGTGCATCGATATGTATTTGATATCCTCATGTTCATGTATGATTGATAAGCTGGGTCCTACCATTGGATTGTTTGTGGGGATTTTGTGTCTTGTCTTGTCTGTAATCCTTACCGTACTTTAGGAATTTTTGAAGTCTTTGAAGTTTTTAAATATTCATGTATTATTGATCATTGGTGGTGTTTATTTAAAAACTATTTAACCTTTATTAATATTTGCTTTTAAATAATGAGTTTGAAAATTATGTAGTTTGCTCCTTATGTTGAAAGCAATGTTTTTAAAGCGGCATAATGATTATTTGTTTTACTAGTAACTATTTTCTTAACTCAAAAAGTGAACACTGAATCTTATGATTGTTTTTCTATGCCGTTTTGTTATTGATTTTACATCATAATTCTATGTTATTGGTTTTACATCATAATTCTAATGTGTCTGTTTATATTGTTTTCTAACAGGACTGAATGAGCTAATGGAGTCTAAAGGAGGTAAAAAGAAGTCTAGTAGTAGTAGTAATTCCTCATCATTGTTTTACGAAGCCCCCCTTGGATACAGCATTGAAGACATTCGTCCAAACGGTGGAATCAAGAAGTTCAGATCAGCTGCTTACTCCAACGTTAGTGTTCTTTCATCTGAAAAAATATATTGCATTATGATTTAGTCGATTTAGTCATTTTCATCAATTTGGTTATTATTTGATCTATATATTGATACTTTTTATTGTCGTTTCAATTCTTTGCAGTGCGCCCGCAAGCCATCCTGATATACCGTTCTGGTTCTCGTTCCTGTGCATGCAAGCACTTTTCTATTAGTTTTTTTTGTTTTCCTTTAGGTTTTTTCACTGCTCTCCTTCAAACAACATCTTTCCAAATCCTCTCCTTGCTATTGTACTTTTTGTTTCTCTCCTTGTTTCTTTTGTATTTCTTTCCATTTGAACTGTTGCCATGGCAGTTTCTGCAATTGGTTTTGAAGGTTTTGAAAAGAGGTTGGAAATATCCTTTTCTGACCCAGGACTATTCTCTGACCCTCAAGGAAGGGGATTGAGATCTCTCACAAAATCCCAATTGGATGAGATTCTTTCACCAGCTGAGTGCACCATTGTGTCTTCTCTATCAAATGACAATGTTGATTCCTATGTTCTATCGGAGTCCAGCCTTTTTGTTTATGCCTACAAGATCATAATCAAAACCTGTGGCACTACCAAGTTACTGCTTGCAATCCCACCGATATTGAAATTGGCCGAGTCTATTTCTCTTAATGTTAGATCTGTGAGGTACACCCGAGGCAGCTTCATTTTCCCTGGTGCTCAGTCTTTTCCTCATCGCCACTTTTCTGAAGAAGTAGCTGTCCTTGATGGCTTCTTTGGCAAACTTGGATCAGGTAGCATGGCTTATATTATGGGTGGATCCGATGAAGCCCGGAATTGGCATGTCTACTGTGCCTCTGCTGATTCCGCGAGCCCAGCAGATTCTGTCTACACACTCGAGATGTGTATGACCGGCTTAGACAGAGAGAAAGCATCCGTTTTCTTCAAAGAACAAACAGGTTCAGCTTCCGAGATGACCATCAACTCTGGCATTAGGAAAATTCTTCCAAATTCTCAAATTTGTGACTTTGACTTTGAACCTTGTGGTTATTCAATGAATTCTGTTGAGGGGCCTGCTGTATCTACAATTCATATTACCCCAGAAGATGGTTTCAGTTATGCAAGCTTTGAGACTGCAGGATACGATTTGAAGGCAATAAATCTGAATGGAATGGTGATGAGGGTGCTAGCTTGTTTCAAACCAACTGAGTTTTCTGTAGCTGTTCATGTGGACAATGCAAGCAAGTCATTTGAGCAGGGGTGTTTGCTGGATGTTAAGGGATACTTCTGTGGAGAGAAGAGCCACCAAGGGCTTGGAATGGGTGGATCTGTTGTCTACCAAAAATTTCTCAAGACTTCGGACTGTGGCTCGCCTAGATCAACACTCAAGTGCTGGAAAGATGAAGATGAAGAAGAGTAGCTTTTGTGTCTTTATGTTTGTCTCTTTTAAATAAGTGTTGCCTTGATGGCTTAAACACATCGTTTTCGTTTATTTGTTCATGTTTCTAGAAGGTTTATAACCTTCATTGCTGTTTTCTTTTATTTACAGTGTGTAGAAGGTATTATTAGCCTTCATTGTTATTTTGGATTAAAGTTTAAACTATGAAATTGAAATAAAGTGCATGTTATGGGAATTTCTTTGATTATTATTTTAAGCTAAATGTGATTTTTTCTGTGAAATTTTTCGTTCAACTTGCATTGTAGGATTTTATTCAAATATATATAATAAATCAATTTATCCTTAACTCTACTTTTTTTAAATAAAAAATGAATTGATGTCCAATAATAAATTTTTTAATATAAAATAAATGATGGAGGAAAAAACGAAAACATAATGTCAATAATTTATTTTAAAATTTAATAGTTCAGATTTATTTTTATTTTATTACATAAAAATATATATATATATATATATATATATATATATATATATATATATATATATATATATATATATATATATATATATAATAATTACAATAATAAAAAACTTAATAATATCGATAATAATAATAATATAGTTCCAATAAACAAATAATGAAAAAGGTTATGATCTATTTGTTTTTTACTCACTTGTCTCAACTATTTTATTAATAATTACTTTTATTTTAATTTAAATTATCAGTATATGAAAACTATATATTTAAGGCAAAAATCTGAATATATTGAGCAAGAAAAAAATAAATGGATGTTCAATAATAAATTTTTAATATAAAATAAAAGATGAATGGGAGAGAGAAAAATGACACATAATGTCAATAATTTATTTTAAAATGTAAAAATTAAAAATAAAAATGAATCGGAAGACTTCCAAAAAGTCTTCCGATGAACAAACGAAAAAAACATGAACCGGAAGACTTTTTACAAGTCTTCCGGTGAACAAACGAAAAAAAATGTGAACAAACGAAAAAAATGTGAACCGAAAGACTTCCAAAGAGTCTTCCGGTGAACAAAAGAAAAAAATATTAACCGGAAGACTTGCAAAAAGTCTTCCGTATAACAAATAAAAAAATTATAAATTTTTATACAAGGATATTTTGGTCCAAAAAGTATTAATGTAGGGGTATGAGTATAATTGTAGGGGTACGGGATAAAATTTCTATTTTTTTGTTAGGCAAATGGGCTTGTAAGTTTAGAAAGGAGAGAATTGACTTATGGTTTAAGGCTTTGTCAAATAGATATTGAGGTATTAATAGTTTGTTGTGGCGGAGAGATTTGAATCAAATAGATATAGATGTCATTGAAAATTCTAAGGTGTATTCGGTGGCATGACATAAATCGGTTTCTTTAAAAATTTAGTGTTGTTTGTCGTAAAAATTGATGAACAACCGCTGATCTTACAAATTGAAAAGAGATCTATTTTACTTGCAGGATCGATCACACAAATCCTAGGACATGTACTAATTGATCTTAAATGAAATTTATAAAAAGTATAAACATTTCGACAGAGTCCATGATAAAACAACTTATTTCAAATATAAATGAATTTAACTGACAGTAAGTGAAATCGAATTGCTGGTAAATGACGAAGATAAGAACTTATATAAAGAAAAGATAAATTCTTAAATAAAGAGATTTGTCAAATTGCATTGAAATGAAAAACTGGTGTTTAGTCAACGTACATTCTTACAAACTCGTTTCTCGCAATCACACGGATACTTAGAGTATACTGAAAAACTTGTACACAATTGAACAAACACTAATCTTAACACTAAGATCTGCTATTTATAACAATCAAACATAACTGTCATTAACGACTAACAAAAGAAATCAAGACAAGTGTCGCTGTGCATGCCTTCGAATCATATGGGCGCTCCACGTGTCTTTCTTAAAAACAGACTTTCTCTATTTTATTTGAATTCAAACGAACTCGTTAAAATACCCCTAGCAACACTTTTGTCGAATCGGGTCTTCCAACTGTTGAGGAATATCTCTAAGTCCATAACATAGACTCTTCTGGCGAAAGGACGACTTCGACTCTCATTTCAAAACATGACTATAGTCGAAGTAGTTAGATTTTGTTAGGAAACTCTATTTGTTACTTTTAACTTCATTTAGGCGTTGAAATTAGGAGCCAACAAATTGCCCCAAAAAAATGTCATTTTCGACATCAATGAAGAATATGACATTTTTTGATAGTATCATTCGACACATCGAACGACTTTTGCATGCCTTTTACTATTCCAAAAACTTATGACGTCAGAACCATCATGGCAATTTTCGAAACACGTCTCCTCAAAGCACGCCATAATCTCTAGCCATAATCACAATCCCTAGATACTAGGAAATCGTGCACTATGCATTAACTACCCACGTTTTGTCAAACGACCATTGTGGGACACGTACCCCACTAACTATCAGCTCTTTAATGCTGATTTGAGGTCCTTTGAACTCCTACAAGCCTATAAATTGTTCCAAGTTTGCTTATTTTAACTTTATGCTCCCATAAATCTTCAAATACTCTTCTTGCCTCTACATTTTAAAACTTCTAAACAAAAACCCAGATTCTCAAAATCTTAACAATGGCATCTTCAACTACCAATGTTAAGGATTCCAAGAAAAACCACAAGTCCAAAGATCTGAAGAAGATTTCCCAACTTTCTCCTTTTGACACGCTGTCAGCACCGATGATGATGGGAAATCAACAATTCCTCCCTGAACCACTTGCAGAAGAAAAGAGAAAAATATACGAATCTCAGGTACTCATTCCTCTTGCTGTTTTTGGTAAAGTGCATGCTCTATGTGGCCCTCTGCCTTCCCATAGTTTTGATCATAATAAATCTACAGATTTTTCCATTCTTACCATAAATCAAAACCCATAGGACAGGCCAACAAAACTAGGGTTGAGAAAACTTTTGCTGATGCGATAATGTTAAACAATATAGATTTAAGGTACATGAATAATTGTCGTACCTCGAAAAATCCGATCCTCACGATGGACGCGGAAAATATGTTCGAAACAGATTCGCCACCGAACTTTATTCATTCCAAGGCAAGAATAGGAAAATATCGATAAAACCTTTAAAGGGATAAGAAAATGGTCACCGCAACCAAATTCTAGGTTCGGGAGTCTATTACATGAGGGGAAGGTATTAGCACCCCTCATGTCCGTTGTACTCAACGGGAACCTCTTGATTCGATTCGAGAGTAAAGTTATCTACACTTGTTTGTTTTCTTCTAAGGTTTCTCCTATAGGGGGAATGAGTGGTTTATAAGATAGGGTGCTCGCCAAGGATTGGGGCCCTTGTGCCTACGTATCTTCACTTGTAAGAAGTGGAAAATCAGAGCAGTCGTAGTTCGTGGGACTACGGGAAAAGAGGGGATTGTGAGGAATGTGCTCGCCAAGATCATCGCAATCTTGTGCCTACGTATTCTCAACGGATATGAGAAATTAGAGCAGCCGTAGTTCGGCTAACTACGGTAAAAGGGTTGGTAAACGAACGAGTGTTTAGGTCGCATTCTAACTGCTAAATGTTGGCTTGTCTGCTCGCTAGGGGAGGTTGAAGCACAAATTTTTTATGCGCGGAAGAATGGAATAAACAATGTTCTTGGTAAAAGGTGTATTTGAGTCGAACAAGAGTTTATGTCGCATTCTAACTGCTAAACATTGGCTTGTCTGCTCGCTAGGGGAGGCTGAAGCACGAGTTCATATGCGCGGAAGAATGGGCTAAACAATGTTCTTTGGTAAAAGGTATGGGAACCTAAAGGTGGGAAAGAAGGAAAATTGCTCGATAGGATCATCGCAATCCTATGCCTACGTATTCTCAACGGATGTGAGAAATCAAAGCAGCCGTAGTTTGGCCAACTACGGTAAAAAGTTCGTAAATGAACGAATGTTTAGGTCGCATTCTAACTGCTAAACATTGGCTTGTCTGCTCGCTAGGGGAGGCTGAAGCTCGAGTTTGTAATGCGCGGAAGAAAGACTAAACAATATTCTTTGGTAAAAGGTATTTGGATTGGAAATCGCACGAGGGCGAGGAATTTAGTGTTTAAGAAGGATTCAATCGCACGGGAGCGAGAAAGGAATTGGAATGGTTGAATATTTTAAGGGAGAATGACGACTACTCGATAAACGAGACGTCATCCTCACAATCAATTAATCGGGATATCATTGGAATGCTAGATCCCAACGATACCTTTTTCATTCCATTAATTATGAAATTGTATTTGAATGGACAATGACGGTATTTGTCCAAATAATTAGGGCACGTGTTTTATAAACGAAAGGTCGAGCGAACCACAACCTAAAGCGTACGCCCCAAGAGTGGTTACTCAAGAATTCAAGGAGTGCGAGACTCCAAGAACTCAATTCTTTTGTAGTTTAATTAAGAAAATAATTTGAATTTAACGCACGGTTTACAAACATATTAGCGTTTAGACTCGATCGCACGAGGATGAGGAACGAGTTAAGACGGGTTAAAAATTTAGGAGGAATGACGACTATTCGATAAGCGTGACGCCGGCCTCGTAACCAATTAGTCGGAATATCGTTGAAACGCTAGATCCCAACGACATCTTTTTCATTCCATTAATTATGAAATATGTTTGTTGGACAGTGAATGTATTTGTCCAAATAATTATGAGAAGTGTTTTAGGAACGAAAGTTTGAATGACACGTTGCTCGAGGCGTACACCTCAGTAGTTGTCACTCATGAATTCAAGGAGTGCGAGACCCCAAAAACTCAATTCTTTCATGATTTAATTTAAAAAATAATTTGAATGGATTAGCGTACTCGGACTAGGCACTCTATGTATTCTAGAAATATAAGATTGAAAGTAAGGAAAGTTACCGAACGGAGTGGTTACGTTGACCCTTGAAATTGCGTGCAAGCTTTAGTTCCAAGCTCCTCCTCTTGGATGTTTTGAAATATGGCTCGAAAGGAGTCGAGGTTTGAATTTTGAGTTTTAAACGTGTGTACT